CGGGCCACAGGCCCCGTGCGGGCGTTTCTCCCAGCCCCTCCCCACGGCCCTGTCCCTGCCCGGCCAGGAGGGGTCCCCTGAGAGCTGGTCTCTGGAAGCCCGCTCTTGGGTGATCAGGGGGAGGAGCCCCAAGAGTGGGCTGGCCTCCCTGGGGGCTGGGGGCCACCTTGCCCTCAGGCCCAGCCCCAGAGCTGTGAGGAACCCTCTGTCCTTGCCCCGGGCTGGCCAAGCCCTGTGGTCTGGAGACCCCACCCGCACCCTCAGCTCCGTCTGGAGACCCCGGGCTCATGCCCTGCCCCCCACGGTCAGACACCCGTGGTGGCCCCTTCCCTGGCCTTCCTGGACAGGGGGCGCCCGGCTCTGGGCGTGTCCCCGAGCCCTGAGCGTGGGCCAGAGGCCCCTGGTCCGCCCGGCGCGGCGATGGCCCCTGGAGCCAGTCCCAGGGCTGCGGCGGCCACGGCTGGTTCGGAAGTGGACGACGGAAGGCCTCTTCCCTGAGGCGAGGGGGCTGGCCCCAGGAACCCCCTGCCCGGGGCTGCCTCTGCCCGCCCGCCTGACCTCCCAGCTGCCTGGGCAGCGGCTGCAGGCGGGTGGGGCGTGGGCGTCTGGCTACAAGCAACAGAAGCCGACCAAGGACAGGCCCAAGGAGATTTTATTACCGCGTGGAGGCCGCCCCAGCCGGCCATTACCTCCTGCCCAGTGCCGGGCCACTCCCCGGGCTCCACTGCTGGCGACCCGTGGACTGGAGCGGACACCTCAGGCTCGCACACCACCTCCGGGCAGAGGCATGGGGCCACGCTGCGGCAGGGCAGGACCAGCGAGGGGTCAGTCTGGGGGAGCACACGGGGGGGCGTCACCGCAGGGGTGAGGGCTGGGCAAGGGCCCCGAGTGCAGAGGACAAAGCACACCCTGTGTCCAGGACACGGGATGGTCACTCCGAGGCCTGGCCAGGCGGGACCAGGCTGCCTCCACCCGGACGTCTGGCGTCCTGGGCAGCCCACACCATGGGAGGTCGACTCTGCTGGTCACTGCGGCCTGCCCCCACCGCCTGGCTCTGGCCCCCAGGGCTTCAGAGGCTGCTGCTCAGCTCCAGCGGAGGCTCGGAGAGGCCGTCCAGCGCCGGGTGCTCGATGACCAGTTTGGGCTGGTCCACCTTGACAGCCTGCAGCTCCTGCAGCGATGGCTGGCTCAGCTCCACCGAGGTCAGGCTGCAGGGCACAGGACATGGGGTCAGGGGACAGGCGGGCGGCAGTGAGCAGAAGCCTCACGCACAGGGGCTGCTGCAGGCCTGCGCTGTGCTGCAGGGGCCAGTCAGGGCGTCAGAGGCCGGGCTGCGGCCTCCAGGGGCACGGAGGGCTGTGGGGTCGCCCCAGACTGGCCGGGCAGCAGGCCGCACGCGGCTGTTCAGTCAGGCGGAGCACTCAGGGCCGAGGGCTGGGTGGGGCCGGGAGTGCCGCCCCCCGGGGGGAAGCTGTGTCCCCAGCACCCCCGGCACCTGAGGGTCTGTAGGCGGCACGCTGGGCGCCGCAGGGCGGCACACAGGTAGGCCACGGTGGGTTCCGACAGCCAGCAGCCACTGAGGTCCAGCGTGGTCAGCGAGGGTCTCTGGCGCAGGATGTCCCCCAGGCACTGGAGGGCCTCCTGGAGGCTGGGCTGCTGCACCCTGGGGGACACGGGGGTCAGAGGCTGCTGCCCCCCCCCCGCCCCTCCAGGCGGCCTGGCTCACCTGAGTGTGTGCACCTGGCACTGGGGCCAGGCCAGGCCCTCGGCCAGCCACCGCAGGCCCGCGGCGCTGAGCGTGTTGTGCAGGAGGCCCAGCTCGGCCAGGCGGGGCGCCCTCCGCAGGGCCTCCGCGAGGTCCCGGCAGGCCAGGTCCGGGACTCTGCAGCGGGTCAGCCTGGGGTCGGGAAGAAGCCGGTCACGGAGCCCTGCTCCTCGCCCCCCCC